TTAAAGGAGAACTATGAGGTGAGTGCTTTTCACTCACCTCATAGTTCTAGCCGACCCTTGTAGATCGGGAGGTGAGCGAACACATATCGGCGTTCGCTCACCTCTCAATCCTGTCACAGCTCTCTGCCATGACAGGGGAGGGGCTGGATTCCCCCCTCCCCGCTCCAATCCTCCAGCGCTGACTGGCGGAACGGACGGGGGAGGGGGCGGGTACAGCTGGCTCTGCCTCTAGATAGGCAGAGCCAGCTGTCAGTCACGCAGCTGGGCGGATCCAGACATAATTGTCGGGATCCGCTTCAGCTGCGGCGTCTCAGTATACCGTGAGCTGTAGCTCGCGGTATACTGAGCCTAGGGTGGCGGGAGGACGCTTAACTCCATAGTTCTCCTTTTAACTAACTTAACAAAATGTAACTTATTTGTAGGGATGCACCAATACCGTTTTTGTGGTATCGAGTACCAATATTTTATATTTCGGTACTTGCCGATACAGAATACTGATACCGGTACTTCTTGTAGTATGAAGCTGGCTTCCCGGGCAGATGGGAAGCTGGGCAGTGTGTCATTAACTGCTGCCTGGCTTCCTGCTGTTTGGCCAGGAAGCCGGCTCCATGTTCCCTCACTGCACTGCAGGTGAGAGGAAATCTCCCTGTGACCAGAAGTTCCGGTATCTGAGCAATTGGGCAAGTACGAGTACTCGCCCAAATAGTCTGCATCATCATATGCGTTGCCTATAGCTCAGCTGTAGATAATCAAATCATTTCCGAGTTCATTCTGACACTGTCCTTCCTTCTGGAGGGTGGCTACTTTTCTTACCCTTTTTCCCTGTGTGTGTTGTAATGTAGCCACCACTCCAAGCTCATTCCTGTAGAGGGACTACAATCATGTTTAGTTCACTATTTTGTATTGAGATTGTAGTCCATCACAGGAGCAAGCTTGGTGCGGTGGCTACTTTACAACACACATAGCGACCATGGGGAACAAAAGTAGCCACCCTCCAGAAGAAAGGACAGTGTCAGCATGAATTCAAGATAATTTGAGGATCTCAAGCCTAAACAAGCTTGTAATACACAAATAAGATGCATTTTTGTTAATAGGGTACTTGAATGCAAGGTTTAACTCCTGAGTTTAGTGTTGCTTTAATAACCTCCACATGCCATCTCGCCTAGCCTCTTCCTCTGTGTTAGAGGTAGATAATGAAGTCAGTGCTACCATCTGATGGAAGTGGTGTAATTATTCCCTTACAGGAACTTCTTTGTGGGAATAATTTTCATTCTTTGCAGTCGAGCGTGTAACAAGGCTTTTGCATGCAAATGTAGGGCATTTTATTACTTTGCCCTGACACGCATTTTAAACAGTCACACTACCATCTATTGGTTGCTGTGCACTCTGCAAGCTGACATTTTTTTGGAATGAGGGCTTTAACTTTCATCTGTTGTTTTTGTACTTGTGATCATCTGGTCAGGACCCCAATCATGACTGGTTCATGATCATTGGTGGGAACTGGAGCTGCTGTCAGTGGCAGGAGCTTAAAATGTGTCGGCTTATAGCTGTCAGAGAAATGGCATAAACTAATGTCCTCAGCAAGGGACTTAATGCAAGGTACTGTTATTATACAGATTGCAACTTTAAATTTAAACCACTTCCTGCCTGCAAACCGTAATCTTTATTTCACTGATGCCTATATTTAGTGAACTTCTTAAAGAGACACTATCTTAAGTTATTTTTTTTCGGGTCTGATTTAAAAGGGGAATTCTGGTGGGCTGTTATAAATTGCAGCAGTTAAGGTGACATTTTTGGTTTGCAGCATGTTTATG